GACTTCCGACCCACCCATTAACTGTGGCGGACGAGGGGCAAACACTTTTATTTATTTTTTTACAAGTCCAAACAAAATAACAAAACACTTCCCCAAACGCGTCCAGGTGAGTATAGGGCCTCGTGGGCGGATGAATGTAAACACTTCACAAACGCGTCCAGTTGAGCATGCTCATGCGTTTGTACACTGACCCCCTCCTGGAGCGCCAGTATGCATACTTAGCGGGTTCTGGGTGGTGTGAATACGTTGTAGTCATACGCTGAGACACATACACGCTTCTTTGGACCGCTGGCGGAAGAGGTGCAAACACTTCACAAATGCGTCGAGTTGGGCATGCTCGTGCGTATGTACACTGACCCCCTCCTGGAGCGCCAGTATGCATACTTAGCGAGTTCTGGATTGACTGAATACGTTTTAGCGATGCGCTGAGACCCATAAAGGCTTCATTAGACTTCCCGACCACCCCATTAACTGTGGCGGACGAGGGGCAAACACTTTTATTTATTTTTTTACAAGTCCAAACAAAATAACAAAACACTTCCCCAAACGCGTCCAGGTGAGTATAGGGCCTCGTGGGCGGATGAATGTAAACACTTCACAAACGCGTCCAGTTGAGCATGCTCATGCGTTTGTACACTGACCCCCTCCTGGAGCGCCAGTATGCATACTTAGCGGGTTCTGGGTGGTGTGAATACGTTGTAGTCATACGCTGAGACACATACACGCTTCTTTGGACCGCTGGCGGAAGAGGTGCAAACACTTCACAAATGCGTCGAGTTGGGCATGCTCGTGCGTATGTACACTGACCCCCTCCTGGAGCGCCAGTATGCATACTTAGCGAGTTCTGGATTGACTGAATACGTTTTAGCGATGCGCTGAGACCCATAAAGGCTTCATTAGACTTCCCGACCACCCCATTAACTGTGGCGGACGAGGGGCAAACACTTTTATTTATTTTTTTACAAGTCCAAACAAAATAACAAAACACTTCCCCAAACGCGTCCAGGTGAGTATAGGGCCTCGTGGGCGGATGAATGTAAACACTTCACAAACGCGTCCAGTTGAGCATGCTCATGCGTTTGTACACTGACCCCCTCCTGGAGCGCCAGTATGCATACTTAGCGAGTTCTGGATTGACTGAATACGTTTTAGCGATGCGCTGAGACCCATAAAGGCTTCATTAGACTTCCCGACCACCCCATTAACTGTGGCGGACGAGGGGCAAACACTTTTATTTATTTTTTTACAAGTCCAAACAAAATAACAAAACACTTCCCCAAACGCGTCCAGGTGAGTATAGGGCCTCGTGGGCGGATGAATGTAAACACTTCACAAACGCGTCCAGTTGAGCATGCTCATGCGTTTGTACACTGACCCCCTCCTGGAGCGCCAGTATGCATACTTAGCGAGTTCTGGATTGACTGAATACGTTTTAGCGATGCGCTGAGACCCATAAAGGCTTCATTAGACTTCCCGACCACCCCATTAACTGTGGCGGACGAGGGGCAAACACTTTTATTTATTTTTTTACAAGTCCAAACAAAATAACAAAACACTTCCCCAAACGCGTCCAGGTGAGTATAGGGCCTCGTGGGCGGATGAATGTAAACACTTCACAAACGCGTCCAGTTGAGCATGCTCATGCGTTTGTACACTGACCCCCTCCTGGAGCGCCAGTATGCATACTTAGCGAGTTCTGGATTGACTGAATACGTTTTAGCGATGCGCTGAGACCCATAAAGACTTCATGTAATAATTAATAGAGACAAAGGATGATTTTATTATAATTATTAAAACAAGCCTTTTTTATAGGCTTAATGCTATATAACTGTCACATTGATCTTCTCTATGGTTCTGAATGGTCCAATGAATTTTGGTTCTTACTTTTTGGAGGGTCGGTTTGCGTGAGCTGCGACAGTGATATGCTCCGTGCTCAGTAAGACACTATCGCCTACAGTGAACCTGGAGGGTGATCGTGCTTTATCCGCTAGGCGTTTTTGGATGTCCTGAGCTGTCGCTATAGCGTCTTGTGCTCGCGCCATCGCAGAGGCTTGAGTGGAAATGAAGGTAGAAATAGCCGGTACATCTGTTGTTGGTGGTTTCAAGAGGGATGATGGGAAAATGGGATGATGACCGTGGTTTAAGAAAAAGGGGGAAAACCCTGTGGAGGGGTTGACGGAGTTGTTGTATGCAAATTCCATCATTGGTAAGAGCAAGTCCCAGTCATTCTGTTTGTACGAGACATAAGATCGTAGCATTTCCTCCAGGGTCCTGTTGGCTCGCTCCGTCTGTTTGTCTGTCTGAGGATGGAATGCTGTAGACATATGGAGTTTTGTTCCTATTAGCTTCATCAATGTGGTCCAGAAGTGTCCCGTGAATCTTGAGTCTCTGTCCGATACAATAGCTCGTGGCATTCCATGGAGTCGGAAGATATTATTGAAGAAGAGTCGCGCGATATCTGAAGCAGTGTCCGTTGTATGGCTAGGGCAGAAGTGGACTTGTTTGGATAACTTGTCTACGAATACAGTTATGGCATTGAACCCTCGGTTCGTCTTGGGTAAAGGGCCAATGAAGTCCATGGTAACAGTTTCCAATCGTCCAAGAGGTATATCGAGAGGTTTGAATAATCCGGCAGGATGATGAAGCAGTGGTTTATTTCGCTGGCACTGTTAGCATGATGCAATGTAAGTCTTGGTGTCTCGGGCCATTCGTGGCCAAAAGAAAGTACTTCGCATGGTTTCATATGTTTTCTCGAAGCCGAGGTGGCCAGCAATGGGAGAATCATGTGCGTCATGAAGCAGTGCTCCTAATCGATTCGATACAACCGAAATTGAATGGGATTGAATGCATTCGATTCGGTTTCGGCTCAGGGTAAGTTTGTACCGAAATTGAATGCTCCATTTCTGTATCGAATCGAATGAATCGAATGTGTTGAATGATACCCTTAATGTGTAGCGTGGGTCGTATGATTATATCGAATGCATCGAATGTATCGAAACCGTTTACCGAATGTATCGAAACCGATTTACCGAATGCATCGAAGCCGATTTTTTAAGCGCATCGAATGTATCTATGCACTATTTAATACGACTATATCGGCTTTTTGAATAAAAAACTTGACAGGTTAGAATGGGCTTACACAATTTGATGCGCCACGGTACATTCGACTAACGTTCAAATGTTGGAAATATATTTAAATTTTGACTTTTCACTTATAGCGAATGTATACAGAACTATAGCAACTAATTTATGGGAGAACATTCATCCAAGAGTCCAGGATGACCAAGCGCTGGATCGTCGTAGGGCTAAGGCTATTTCTTTCAGGTGGCAGGAAGAACTTGGCTTGCGAAAAGCATCTTTCTGCCGGGGTTGATGTCACAGGGACTGCAAGATAGTCCTTTGCCATATTCGCCAAATTGGGCAAGCGTTCCTTTTGTGATCGCCAGTACACTAACTCTGGAGGCTCATGTTTACTAGCAACTAGAGAACTTCCTTCTCGAACGTATAATTCAAGCTCTCCACCTTTTTTCTCGATACCTTAGCGTCTCATCTCCATTTCTTCTTCAGCTGGAAGCTGACTTGGGCCTTCTTTGCCCTTATATTCATCTTCCCAGACCTTCGTTGCCATGTCTTGGCTGCTTTGAATATATTCACCCCATTCGTTAGCTTCCCACCAGTCAAACCGCATCCTCGGGTCCATAGCAGTGGCGACGGCATAGACCGCTGAGGAATCAGTTTTAGAATAATAACGCAAAAGCTTCTTTAACCCTTGACCTGCTGCGTTTTCTAGTGGAGGATCCTCTTCTTTTCAATATAATCTTCTAGGTGGTCGATCATGTTGTTGTAAGCAGACATGGCTCTGTTGATTGTCGGGTATCCCAGGCTAGAAGACAACGTCGCTGTGATATCATTAAACTGGCTAAGCAAAATATGGAGCTTCTTCAGGTATCCCCATTCTTCGTCTTTCAGGGAGAAGGCCGATAAAAACGGTTCGTTTTGGCACATGCTCTGGTAGGCTAGCCTTAACGTTATTGCCCTATCCACCATGATGAAAGTAGAGTTCCAACGTGTGCAGTTATCCCTTTTCAGTTCAAGGTTTGGGCATTTCAGGATAGCGCAGACCTGGCCAAACTTGTCAATCCTTTGTGGCGAAGCTCTATGTATAAGTCGATATAAAAGGTATTTTATAGTTAAGTTTCATGATTCAAGTTTATACACTATCATGCAAAACTGATTCAATAATTCATTCCCATGTGCATTTCTTTTTTTCATTCCTAGAAACTGTATATGCATACACCACTCATACTTTGGTTTAATAAAGCTCCCGTCTTCTTCTACGTCATAGTGATGCGTTGTGACATTAGCTTGTCTCATTTGAATAGCTAATGACTTTTTTGTTCATGCAGGTCATTGAATCAGTTTCACATGTGCCCATTCGGTGGCCAAAGATCTTTATTCTTTTGTGAGGCATAACCTTACATCAATAGATAGTATTCCAACCATGGGCATCACTGACAGCTTGGAGTCCCTTATGGATACCTATGATGAGTTTGCGGCAGAAGCCCACTGGGATCCTGTACCATTCAACCGATACTCGCTCCCATAGTTCATCACAGCTCTTAGCTCGCTCCGGATACCTAGAGAGCCGCCTATCCAATTCTGCCCACATGTGTTCAATAGGGTTGAGGTCAGGGGATTGTGCTGGCCACTCTAGAAGTGTACCTTCCTCTTCTGTCAGATGTACTGACTCCAAATACTTCCTAACAATCTTCGCCGTGTGCTTCGAGTCATTGTCGTGCTGAAAGACGATATCGCTTTTAGTTAGGCCCCAGTCATCAAGCGACATCTGTAGATCCTCCTGCAGTAGTTTGATGTAAAGTTGTGCGTCCATATTATTGTCAATCTTTGCAATGTATCCAGGTCCGTACCATGAGAAGCATGACCACACTTTAACATTACCACCCCCAAACTTGACAGTGCCTTGCACCGACCTGCGAGTGAGGCGTCCCGGATTGTCGTCCCAGATCCACTGCACGCCATCAGAGCAGATTCGGTTTATTTTCGATTCATCTGACCAAATAACCTTTTTCCAATCTTCCAGAGTCCATTCCTTATACTTATTGATAAAATGCAAACGAGCTTTAATATGTCGTCGACGTAAAGCTGGCTTATGTACACGCCTCTTTGCTGTCAATCCTAACTCCTTGAGCCGTCGTCTAACGGTGGTCTCAGAAACAGCCGCTGGTATGAGCTGGTTGGCTCTGACGGTGGCCTCAACTGCAGACTTGAGTGTACCTCGTTTCATGTTCACCTTAAGATACTGCATGATACCTCTGGGTACTTTCCTTGGTCGACCGCCTTTATTGACTTGCATGTACTCCTTATTATGTGCATAGATCCTGGTGGCCGTCGCTATTGATATACCAACACTAGCAGCAGTTTCTCTAGTAGACATGCCTCCCATCATTAACCTCCTGGCTTCGTTGACTTTCCTTTGTGGAGTGGGTCTCATATTCTGTGAAGGTATAGTTAAGAGAGAGTTAAGCAAGTGTTCATAAAGGAAAGAGAGAAAAGTCCTTTTTTTACTGGCATTAAATGACGTCCAAAAGTTGTCATGGGCAACATTTTAGACCACATGTGAAACTGATTCAATGACCTGAATGAACAAAAAAGTCATTAGCTATTCAAATGAGACAAGCTAATGTCACAACGCATCACTATGACGTAGAAGAAGACGGGAGCTTTATTAAACCAAAGTATGAGTGGTGTATGCATATACAGTTTCTAGGAATGAAAAAAAGAAATGCACATGGGAATGAATTATTGAATCAGTTTTGCATGATAGTGTATTTGCAGCCAAGATTATATAGTAATACTGACCTGATCTTAACAATGCCTTTTCTGAGTTTCTGTAATGTACTCAGCGTTACAAGCGTTAACCCAACCGCATCCTCACACTCATTGTTGTTCACGTAGAGACTGTCATTTTCAGGAGCCAAGTCATTCAAACCCCTTGGGCCCAAAATCGCCTGAACTGCCAGATTAATGATGTGTCTGTCAAGGACTGACAAAGGGTTTGCAAGGAAAGGTAAGTGAATGAATAACAAGAATGATAATGAGCTGAGAACTAGAATGGATTCACGAATAGTTTTATTGCAGACTGAGGTTTACTATGTTACAAATCTATCATATTTATACTTGTTTGACTGAAGCGGAGACGCGCTTCAAGAACTCTAAATAAAGCTTACTCAAATATTTCCTAAGGACTTTTACCATATGCGGAACTTCAAGTGTTGAGTTAACTTAATACACAGGATCCGAGGAAGATATCTGGTGCAATCTTATTTCAAGGTTCCTTGGCACTATAAGCCTTGGTTATTGGTTTATAGCTCTTCTAGAATCCTTGGAGCTATTCACGGAGCTAGAAAACTAGGAGACGCGACTTGGCTTGACA